TCAGTAAACCAAGCTATAATTAGACTATCATCCAGGCTTTGTTGTTTTACTTATAGGGCAGAAGCTGGTAGACAGACTTAGCATAATTCTAGAGTTTTCAAAGTGGCAAAAGAGCATTGACTTCAGCCTAAAGTCAGCAGCTGCACTGGCCCCTAACAAGAGTCAGCTTTGCTTTGAAGTCCGACATGGCATCTGCAAAAGTCCTAGATGGCACCTTCTTCCAATCGATGGGTGGTTTTATCCACTTTCAGAAGCTGCTGTTCAGTGTCACCACCTTCATTGAGGGTCTTAGCTAGGTGTTCTGGACTCTGCTGTAGCCTCTCCATCAACACCTCTCTGTCGCCTTGCACCTTCAGGTTGGGAATGGTTTATTTCTGTAAACCTGTGAACCAACCCCTGCCAGCTTCAAACTTTCTTTACAGCTTCCTCACCTCTCTCAGCCTTCATAGAATTAAGGAAAGTTAGGGCACTGCTCTAGATCAGGCTTTGGTTTACGAGAATACTGTGGCTGATTTGACCTTCTATCCAGACCCCTAAAGCTTTCTTTATATCAGCAAGGGGCTTTTCTGATGTCCAATTATTTGTGTATTCATTGGAGTGGCACTTTTTTTTTTTTATTCAGAGGGCACTTAACACTAGCCAGAGACAGAGACAGAGACAGAGAGAGAGAGAAATCATGCCCCAGCAGGATATGGTCCTGCCACAATTCTTTTTCTTCCATTTCTCCTTCCCATCAGGATTCTGGGGTGCACACACAGATGTCTGGTGTGCTGTTCACACCAGAGCTGGGGTTCAAGCCCTAGTCTGCTAAGTGGGACCTGGCTCCCAGTGCACACACTTACCCACGTGCTATGGGGCTGCCTGTGGAGCAGGCAGATACTCACGACTCAGCTCTTGGCCAACCCCAGCTTCGACATCCCTTCCTCACTGGGCTGTCTGGCTTCTGCTTTAGAGAGCTGTACAAAGATTGTGTTTGCTCGAACACCTAGAGGCTACCTGTGGGGTTGTTACCTGACCTAATTTCAATGTCGTGTCTCAGGGACCAGAGCAGGGGGAGTGGCTGGCTAGCACAGCTGTCAGAATGCACACTTACTGGTAGTTGGCGGTCTCGCATGGCTGTGGTTCACGGAGCCATAATACAACTTCTACATTAACTGCAAAGATCACTGACCACAGATCACCACGACAGTTATAAACAAATAACAAAGCTGGAAATATCGTGGGAATCGGCAAGCGTGCATGGAGACGGGAAGCAAGACTGTGTTGGGAATGGCACGAGTAGATGTGTCCGACGCAGGTTTGCACAACCCTTGAACTTGTGAAAAGCAATATTAAAAGCACAAACGGCATATGCTTCTCCAGGTGAGAAATCCCGATTACACTTGGTAAATTGATCTTTAAAAGGGTAACAGGAAATGCCAACAGACTTCACTACACACACAATGCTGACTTCTTAGATAAAATGGATTAACTCCCTAAATATTGCAAATTCCAAAATCCATCTACCATGGAGAACGTAATCAGAATAGGCTCCAACAAATTTTAAAAATTGGGTTTAAGGTTACAAACCATCTGAAAAAGACATCTCTGGGCACTGATGGTTTCATTGAAAAGTTATACCAAACATTTAAAGAAGAAATAAAAGCAATTCTACAAGATTTCTTCCATAGAACTGAAAAAGAGGAGAGAACAGGTCTATGAATTTACGATACCCTAATATCAAAACCAGATGCAGACAAAGTGAGAAACCGAAGCCCGGTGGCTGAAGATCTCGGACAAAATGCCAGGAATGGAGCCCAGCGTCTGTGAAAGCCGAGTGCCCCCGACTGGAACCCAAGGCTGGAGATGCCCTGTCCAGGGAAGGAATGTTTAAGATGAGGCCATCTATTTTAACACGTCCCAGAAATAGACCCAGCGGAGGGTCATATGACAGTCTGGAAAGAGGCTTAGGTTACCTGGGCCTGGTGGCGTGCGCTGCTGTGGTTCTCGGGGGAGCGCCGGGAAAGGCCTTCTGGCAGGTGTGGGGAGGCGACTTCCCCCCGCTCTGGCGTGTGGGAGGCGCGTGCTCCCGGCCCGAGTGTCCACGTCCAGTCTCCTCTGTGTCCAAGTGCCCTGCGGAAGGCCCCACGCGCCCGGGGCCTGGGCAGTAGCGGAGGGTCTCTGGCCTCACACAGGCCGGGGAGCCTTCCTGGGGGGACGAGCGGCCAGCGCGGGCCGGAGCCGCGACCTTCTCCCTGGGCTGCGAAGTTTCTAAAAGGCCAGGCTCCCGCGCCCAGACGGGGCTGAAGGCTGTGGGTTCTCGGCTTCCGCTCCTGATCCCGGGCCTGGAAGGCACTGCGGCCCGTCTGGGGG